TTAAATGCACAAATATATATATTTAAAAGTATTATTTTGAACATGGTGAAATAGGCCCCAGATTCCTCAACATGCCCAATTAAAAGTCACCCCATAAAATAAAAAAAATCTACTTCCAGACTAGAGGTAATGAAGTCCCAAATCTTAATAGGAAGGAAAGCAGAAGTATTGACTAATAAACCAATCCTCACTTAGAATCTGGCCGAGATGTACCGGTAGACTACTTTCCTTGGGACGTCACATGCAATTGTTTTCGTTGCGATCACAGTGTCTAGAGTTCAAAACATACCGAGATCGATATAAAACATTTCTGATATTTCTGTTCTATGTTTAAGATGCAATTTATGTAATATTTGTATCTTGATAAAGGGGCAGGTTGCCTTGAAAACTTGACAATTCGCTTGTCCATGCTGTCGCTATTGCGTCATTGATCATATATATAACGTATTTATTTATATTTAAAAAGTTTTAGGTACAATTTGTATCAACCTGTTTAAGTTGAAATTGACACAATCCTAAAACTTATTGGATACAACAGCAGCACTACTGACCTATCCGCACTCTGTATCCTGACTGACTACAGAACTAAAATCTCGTCTTACGATTTGTAAACGAATACCGCTTTTCTGGCATGCCATATATATTCGAGAGACAATGTAAGACAGTACCCGTCCTATCGCGAATATTACTTAACCTTTTCTGCTGAGGATATTTCATGATGTGAATCAATTTCGATAAGTACCAAACGGGTTACATTTCTTGACTTATCTACCTGATAATGGCAGTATGTTGCCCTCTTGACATTATACGATTTTATGTGTCACGCTAACCTACATAGCTATTTAAATGTTCAGTATGTCGGACACCTGTACCAAAATTATCAAGGGTATCTATATCAACTTGTTGGTGGTATACTTTAAATGATGAATGAAAATTCAGCGAATGAAGAACAAGTTTACTATTAAAATCAATATATACATAGATAAGAAATAAATAAATAAAAATCCCTTGTGATGTTAATATAATTTAATAACACTAGAGTTCTTTACTGCAAAGTTCCTGCTCTATAAGAGCAAACACATGAAATATACTAACGCAGATGAGATAACATTCAGTAACTACTTCAATGAGTTTGGTGTTATGTGTGCCGGGTGATATATTTTTATTTCTGATTGTTTTGAGTGGTGACTTTATGAGTATAGCGCACGCACGATCACCTAATAATGACAGAGCTTAATACATGGATGAACATGAATGTTGTTAATAAAACAGAGTAATTTGAGAAATTTCAATGATACAAATTGAGAGATTTTTGACATTGAGCAAGGAATTAATTGATACAGATGACAAAAAGAACGAAAAACTGTAATAGTATGATTTCAGCTATCGAACCTGGAAATGGTTCATCTAAATATATCTCCTTGGTATGAAATCTACCACAGCTGATTTAATCATAACAAAAATCTGTACATACAACGAGAAAATCTTTCCCGTGGGAGAGTAATGTTACGACAAATCTATATACTATATATCTATCAATATATCTAAACATCGATTCAAACGCAGTGGCGATTTCCACGACACTTTATCTGTATCCCTCGTTATCAGATCATACATAACGTTCCCTTCTCCGACATGAACGTGATTTCTGCAACAACTGTATTTCACTTTCTTCATCAAATTTTAAATATTTGGATCACTGATAACAAATGAAATCATCCGTTTGAAAAGCTAAAATTCCCCTCGTTCAAGAATTTTCAAAAAGTAATAAAATTATAAAAGAGTGATGGATCACTCCTGTTGTAGAGTGTGACCACTGTAACAAACATATCCCCCCGTTGTAGAGTGTGATCTCTATATCAAATAAATCCTTCCCGTTGTAGGGTTTGACTTGCATAACGAATAGGCATCTCCCCTTGTAGAGTGTGACCACTCTAACAGATATATCATATATATCATCGATTGATTTGTGTTAAAAGCTTTGTGAAGTCACATGAAAGGGACTTTGAGGGTATGTATGATCTGGAAATGCTTTTGGCCATTTTCGTCTATCGTAACCATAAAAATATGATGGAAATATGCTTCGGATACGCTGAAGCCAATGATTTAAAGTATTTGTTTTCATGGTAACGATGAAAATATTGAAACTAAAAATCACTTCGTAGCAAAACGTACTACTATACCACTTGATAGATTGATGTTTATAGAACGTTTTGTGGAGTTATCTTGTAGGCTTTTGGAGATACTCAAGGTCACAGAAGTCAGGTATTTGAGAATTTGTATTCATTTTCAGCTGGAATTACAAAACAGGTTCGAATTTCTTTGTCAAGGAGGTTTAATGTTTTGAAAACTTCAGTGCAGGGCCCTAAGAGTATTTGTTCATTTTTCTACAATTTCTACAACGGTCACCTGAGATGACTGATTTGAACTTTTGTTTTTTGACAAGCAAAATTTTAACAAAATTGCCTTTTCCAATATCTAGCATACAGATTAAAGCATGTTTTGTTTGTAGCAAGTGTGGACTTTTTTCTCTATTGTGAACTTTCCTTTTCTCTAGACAGCAGCAGCCTTGTATCCCCAACAATTGGTGTTAATATGTCGCAATTGATTCGATATTAAAAGACCTGTTCCAATTATCACGATTTCCTTGCAGGAAGTCTTGAAATGATGGACTAATTGGTAATGCATGGTTTCAAACATTGCAGGTTGACGACATTTATGGGGATGTGATACAGTCTTACAGTTTTTTCTCCTTGTAGTTTTTTAGCAGTTTTGAACACCTGGTTATAAACGTATAATCTCCTTGTAGTTTCCGTGTAAATGTTTCTTTTACACGAGATTTATCAATTTGAGTTTGGATTTGGTTTTCGTGACTCATGTAGTCCTTGTGTCCTATTTCAATGATTATTCTTTCTGTTTCATAAATATCCATTCCGATTCAGTATTTTCCTTGAATAGTTGACAGCTAATAGTGAGGTTAACAACTAATTATGACAACGGCTTTGAAAAGTGTTGTAATTTTCAAGTGGCAATATCACGTCACTTACAAATTATAAATATTGGTAATTTGAAGATAAACATGTAGATTTAGTTATTTCAGTGACACACATAACATCATAGTTTACACTTGTCCTGTTATACTGATAGTTCATATTCTAATACAGATTGTCATCACATCATAAAAATATTTTGATATATTCTTTGACTGTTTGTACGTGAAAAATTTAAATCCATATTAGAAATAGATGGTTGAAATCTATTTACGATGAACTAAAAGAGCTGCTAATACTTTCCAATTATCGATAGTAATTGTCTGTTTATATGTTTCTAATGTGCCTATTTCACAACACCGTTCTTACTTTTCAATAAAGTTTTTTTCTACCGATGGCACGTTCGATGACGCAAAAGGCACTTTGATATACCTGACTATGTCAAATTTAAACAAGATACGTTCCAGGTACAAACACGTAATGCTAAGTTTTTAACCAAACGCACAAACGTATCATATTCATCCTTGTCTTTAAGGAGTCCTCAGATATTACTCAGGTCGTGTTCTTGAAGATACGAAAGTAAAAAGATTGTATCCTGCGTTCAATGTTTCCATTTAAATTATATTTGTATTGTCCCCAATCGCGCCTAATAATGACGGGCACACTAAAATACGCCAAAGGGTAATTCACGTCACAGCTACGCCAGTTGATTGTTTGCACGCCATAGCAAATTGTTATTGATTTATTGACAAAATAATTCGGTTTTTTTATTTGTACTTTCAATCTTTCATCAATGGAAAAAAATACGAATGCAATTTCATCGTTTATTTTCGCACATACACCTCCTACATATCAGTTTCTAAATAAATCCAAATATGATGTTAAATATTTTGAGTCGAACAGCAATTTTGATTAAGTGAGAGATATGATAATATTGTTATATGATTAATAGATTATACAAAGTTAAGTACGGTGGAAGTAGTTAGTCACAGTTATGTCCAAATTCCTAGTATGGGCAAATAATGTAAGAAAATGCTAGAAAAGTTTGTCTGAAAATACCCTTATGATTTAGTAAAAGACATTTTGTTTCTCCTGTCCTATCTATATGAAGACAATGGTTCGTTTTGTCCATTTGAAGCAGGTAGATATTTATACAATTCATTTTCATAATATTAGGACTACCGATTAACCCATCTATTCCCTTTGCAAGAAGCAATGGTTTATATCTTGTCAAAAGAAGCAGAAATTTTAATTATGATCAGATTCACTTTCATTGTGGAAATATGGAATATTAATCAAAATCAAGTAAGAAAAATGAGACTATGTGCCTACATCAACCTCCGTGTTCAGCTGATATACCCATGGAAGATTGATCGTATGTCTTTACAAACAATGGTTAACTAACCCGCCAATACCTATATATAGAACAGCTGAGATCTTTCGCTAGCAACTTTACATTATACAATTATATTCATTCAAAAGATTTAGATACTTTTCACATTATGTTTGAGGTAGCCTTACTGTTTTATTTCCATATCGGTTTCCCCTTTTCAAACTCTGTTTGAAATAGACAATATCACAACCTTAAATGTTTGTACATTTTAGCCGGAAGACCTTAAGATGCAAAACATATTTTGACGACGGAAGATTGAACATGATATTGTGAAAGGTGAAGTTTACGATGGCTATATCGTCGGGGAGTATACGTTGCTATAAAAACGGTGAGAAATTACATATTAGTTTAAGAGCTACTCCTTGATATTTTTGTCAAATCATTTTCGAGCACCGACTTTCTTTGATAATCTGTCCATAGTAAATCCGCAGTTCAATGCACCAATATGATCTTTGTTCCTTTGAAGTCATTGTTTTTCTTTGTTTCCTTACAAAGGTACATACATTATTCTGCATAATGAATATCATCAAAGCCGAGTTACGCATGTACTGATTATTCACTTTTAGTGGCTTTATTGTTGTATTCCTCTGGTATACCGTTTAGTTTTCTGCCTTTCTTTAGCACAAATGTTTCTTGAGGAAGTTTACTGATCGCTGCCACGCATCCTTTTGTGCTGCTGCATGTTCCTTGGGATATCCTCCATTAATGATGAGGTTATCTACACACAGTTAGAAGGAAATGCATAAGTTAAGAGACCTTAAACGAGTTTAAGAATTGATGTTGTTACTAATACAATGTAACAGGCATACACAATGTGTTTTTAAACACATTGTTTACCATGCCATTCTTCAACTGACAACAAAATCTTAGATGCGTTCGCACACTTTCAGGATAGATTGTCAAAAGTTGCCCAAGGATATAATTGTCTGTATAAAAGAAGTAGTCTCTTGCGGAAACAAACTGCTACTCGATTTTTTATTTTTGGAAGTTATAAGTTTTTTTATGAAGAGGAATTCACTTAATACTTACTGCGTTTGCAAACCGGAGTTGTCACCGGAATTGTTTGCAGAAAACGATCAAATCCGTTTAATATTCGGCATACAGGTGTGTATGGTGGGTCTATGATATGCCCCGCCCCCGGATATGTCACAAGCTCGGCCTTCTCTTTGCGGTAGTCCTGGGGCATGAGGTCATCATATAGATGGAAAGTATGTTCTAAACTATTCAGGAGATCATCCAAACCCAAGATTGTCAAGAGATGAGCGCCATGTGTCCACGGCTACAATATAGATAACATTTCTTTTTGTTCTTTCTTATTTTCGCTTTTACTCCTCTTATTTGATAAATTATTGCATTTTCATTCTTATACACTTTTGCATTTAACAACCAGGAAATAATTATTTAAAAGTTCCGACCCTTTCATCATATTCTCATGGTGGTTTAACTTAATGAACTCAAACATTAAACAATATTTCTTTCTCATCAGTAACAGTATTTAAGTCTGTATATCAGCCGTTACCTTTAGATAGCTGTCGTCAGGTACCACAAATAAGTCACGTAACAGGAAACCCTCCTGATTGAACTGGACACGTGCCAGTTCGATCCTTCAAATGAAATTCAAAATGCTCTTCAATATCTCTATAGACAGGAAATTATCAGAGATATATTACAGTTTAGGTAAGGAAAACAGATTAAAAGGCCACAGTCAAATGACATCGAAACTGCCATTTTGCTTGTAAATGTTGTAAAATGTTTTAAAACTTATTTTTACAGAACTACAATTTCATCTGGCACCTGTGTCAAAAATTATACAAGACAAACAAGTGAATAACACCTTTTCATACAAACTTAGAGTTAGATACGGTAGAGAAAACAAACTCATTTAACTACATCAAACAGCTTTGTCGTCCTTCTAGGACTCGTCAGTAAGGGAGTAAATGCTGAAGCCTATGAGGCGACTGAGGAAAATCAAATGTGAATGAAAGAAAATTAAAAATCTATGCGAGGAGGTGAGCTAGCCCAGTTATTAAATACATTTTGTAATTTCAATACATCAAATGATTTTAGCACAACGTCAAGTATATCGTGCACCGTGTCGCTATTCGACTAGATACAAGTGTCCAACTATAGATGAAATCAATTGATTCCGGCAACCACTTCAAACACACGTGGAAACTGGAATGTACAAGAAGTAGTTCCCGTTTGTTTTTGGAATCCTTTTATTATTCTTTTATGATAATTTCTATATTGAATTACTATGATGATCATTAACCCGCTAATTACTTTTATTCAAATTAATTTAATTACAGGGCTGTTGCGCCTTCCCGTCTTGATTTTTAATTTTTCCTTCGATTATTTTCTATTTTCCTCAGCCGCCTCCTAGACTTCAAGATTAACACCCTTAATTCGCAGTTTATTTTTTGAGTTGGTTACCATGGCAATCACATGTCAGACATCAGAGGAATTTGTTTTTTATTTTTTTCACAATTTTTATTTCTCTATTGTTAATGTAATTGTTATATAGTATATAAATATATACACAAGTAAGACTGTGTTTTTTAAAGCCAATCTGCTATATGTATATCTCAAACATGACTAATACTTTCAGGAAAAATGCAAATGAACTGTTTTCTGCTACCTTAGCATCACTGACGAGTCTTAGAAGGACGAAACAGTTGTATGATGTAGTTAAATTCACTGTAAGGCTCTCTTGTATCTAACTGTAGATTATTTAAAGGTGCTTCTGTGTCTTTTGTATAGACCACAAGCACGGAGGCACAGAAAAAGATTGGAATGAATTTCACGCAATCTCGTGGTTGTCGTGTATGATATGTCTTCCACTCTCGTTCATTATTTTCAAAATGTAGTAAGACGTTCGGTAAAGCTCGTGGTTTTGAAGTTTTGAAAGATAACTTACGAAAATAAAAAGTGAAATATGCACCAAAACCTTGTGTAACTTAAATCATCTACTCTGACAATTAGATTGGATTATCGTTTATTTTCATTTACCTAGGAATTTCTTCCCCTTGGTCATTAGCATCACTACTAGAAAGAAACAGCTTCATGATGCATTTTCAATAAGTGATTGTTTGGCTCTATTGTATCTTTTTAGTTCTATATTAGTATTGAAAGCTTCAATTGTACAATCCTTTGAATAAATGTTCGTTGTGAGGAATGTTATGTTGTTTTATGGATATAGAAAACAACGGAAACAATATGCAAGTAATACAAACTGAGAGGAAAATCGCGAAAACGTACATGCACTATAGCAAACTTTGCCTCCCGCTAAATGGAAATACAAGATCTTAAAGAAAAATCACAATTTTGGTAATGCCCTTCTGACTCTAAATCCATGTAGAGTAAATTGATTCGACAGCATGTGCATCTAAAGAAGATTTTTAAAATGTACAAATTTGGCCCCACTCATATGGCTCCATGAGATCAACCATAGTTAATATCAATGTTATCTAATTCCTATCCTATATTAATAATTCTAACCAATTGTAAATCATTTCCAGTTAATATCAAACAAACCGTGTCCCATCAATATTTGTTTCTCCCAAGGATTATCTATGTTTTGGTAATGTTTAAGCCTTTTTATCCAACTCCTCGGTCCCATGGAAATGACCACTGTATTCATAACTGGGTTAACCTTTGGGCCTGGAATAGGAAGCATTAACATTGCACTTCCTAGCAGCTTCTTTTTTTAAAAATGATTCTGAATTTGACTTATTCTCGCGGAATTTTGTTGTGCCTGTTGTTTACTGTGGATTTAAAAAAATAAACGTGACATTGCTTGAATTGACCATGGTTTTCACGACGGATGTACAATATACATACATATTTGTACTTTAGGTCACTGCGTTTCCGAGTAAATCTTCCTTTTGTTCGTATTTTGCTCTTGTATGATTGGATTTTAGTTTGGAATATGATTCTGTTGAGATATTGGTGTTTTTTTGCCCCTTTTTGTTGTTGTTTTTGTATCAAAAGTCTTTAATATTTGCTTTATCACGTGATTGGTGAATGGCGCAGAACATAGATTCTGTCTGTTACCTTGTATTTGACGCTATATTAACACCTTTGTGCGTCCAATAAGGGAACGCGCATGGAATACCGTTAATGCCGACGATTGCTCGGACCTGAAACGGAAACGATCTAAATGAAAATATGCTACTCCGGTAATACGGCTAAATAAAAAACCCAAAGATTTTAAGAAACTTCGCATTGCATCATATATGTAGGTACGCAGAAATTGGCTCAGAATGCGTTAAAGAATGGTTTTGTTGAAATGATGTCCCTATTTGTCAAATGATTGATGCGAGAACGGGGGACTTCACTAATGCTAGTTGGTTAGCTTCTTGTATCTCCTTAAGCTTTAGTCAGTTTTTTTCTACAAAGGACATCGGAGAGGCTATATCGGGACTGTCACAAAGACTTCGCTACAGAATGTAGCTTTTGAAAATGTTTGTTTCAAATTGATGTCCCTTTATATGTCAAACAGAACCGCGGCATCAATCTTCGCGCCGTTCTGAAGAGTTTAAGTGATTCGATAAACTTAATGCAGATCATACATACGTTCGGAATGTGCTGTGCCATCCAAAATGCCAACGATCCCCCAAGGCACAAAGACATTATACCAATGCCGTCTGAACGTACCTCTGGTAAACTAGCAAACCATTCCGCCGCTTCCTATTTATAAAACGCAGTAACAACATTGCTTATTTTACTAGCAATATATCACATTGGCATCAAAACTTTGGCAAATTGTTCATCGATTACCGCTTAATTTAAAGTGTATTATGTATAACTATAATATTTCCTTTCCGTATTATTCGTGTCATTTTTTTCTATTTTATACACATTGATCAGCTGTCCTCGTTATAATCACCTCAAAGTAGTCGAGGTCAATTTCCGGCAGTGTTTGTGGCAGGCTCAAGGATAGAGTTGCGAAGCCCCGGGACGACAATAGAGCCGCTCGTTCCTCCACGATCAACACAAAAGCTCCGTACATATCGATGACCCCCGGGAACGGACCGTGCCCTGTATTTAGCATGTGATATAAGATAATAACATATAGTATTAGAAATCAAGATGTGTGTTAAGATATTTGAATTGTTTTGTCATTAATATCAATATTACTAACATTACATAACTCCAAATGTAATTACTTTGAGGAGCAATATTCATACAATATAGTCATTATAATTTATTATGACAAAACGTCAATACTTAAAGATAAAATATTTTTTATTTAAAAAAATCGGTTTTTATGACTTCAGTGCGTATAGAAAGAAAACAACAAGATAAGTGTTGTATTTGTTAAAGTGTTTCATAAATATGCTTGTTATTTTTCTTCTGATTATTCGTATTTTGGCCACAGTTCACCGATTTAAATTTTGCTTCAAGATTTAAACGTGCCAGTATTTGCTAGTTGTATGGTATGAGAGTTGCCATTTCTGCGCCGCATTGATTCGGTTTGTTGGAACTTTGTTGCCATTTAACAATGATGTAAACAATAAATATCGATTACAACATCATAAGATTTTCAAATATCTTGCGATGTACAAATACAAAAAGAAATCGTAATATAGTATTGAAACATGCTCGTATAAATGAAAGCTATAAAATTATCTTTTCGCAAATTTCTAACAGATTGCTTTGCATTTTTTACATTTTGATTCGACGGGAAATCTAGTATTTATTCAGTGGTGAATATATTTTAAAAAAAAACACACACACACACACACACACAATGAACCCATGAGAGCCATACTGATAGCTCCTGTTGTTTATGAAGGGATATCGACATAATGAAATTGTAATACACGAGACAATGAAATGTCAGGCACTACCCAATACTAGACATGTGCTGCATTTAAGATAAGGTAGCATCAAGATTGTCCGGACATTCCTTTAAGGAGTTATTTTGTGCTTAAAATAAGTCGTAGTGTTCATGTGCTGTATCGTATCTTAAATGCCAATTCGTTTTGGATAGTTATATCGATGTCTTTTCATGCAAAACGTTTATTTATATACATTTCCGGTTTAAACGACATCACATACTTCAGGAGCCATATACGTTTTAAGTAAAAATACTAAATTAACGGATCAAATTAATCTACATTAAATCGACTATGAGTTGGCTACATACCTTCTGGTAGGAATAAAGTGCCTTTAAGTTTTGGATGGTCAATGGGTATTCGCCTTGTACTGGTATTTGTGTACCATCGTCGGTTTTCAGCTGTTGCGAGTACTTTTGTTTTATCTCTAAGGTACTCACTTGGATCGTTTGATTCTGGGAATACACTAAAGTTTATTGTTCTTGGTTTTATAGCTGTGGCTTGGAACATGCGCGTGTATGCTGGTAGCCATGGTGCTGCAACCATACTCCAAAGTAAGCCTGCGGGGTCTGCATCTGTTTATCAAAGCAATAACTCAAAGATGTAAAATCTACCGATGAAATTCGAAAAAGCTTGACATAAATATTCATTTTTGGATCCGGGCATTAAATTGCAGCAACGTGATAATAAAATGACGAACATTTGGACAGGCATCCTTATCATGAAAATTACACTTCACAAACGAATTCTTTATCTTAACGCGTTCATTGCAAACAACAACATCTTTTCCACAACACATCGTTTTTTTCAAAACTTTATTCGGTGTTGCATCTTAAAGTCATTTCCACAAGAGAAGTTACAAGTAGAAAACAAAACTGTTTTAAATCCTTGAGAGGATCCAATGTTCGTGTACAAAGTATTTCAAAAAGTGCAATTTTAATATAGAAAGGTATACAAATAGAAATTGATTACCAGGTGAGCTAAGTATCCTACGCTTTCGGAGAATATAACAAATGTTTGCTTCTAGTATGCAGCATATACTAAGCACTATGTGGCAGCATAATACACTACCTGTTTAATGTCAAAAAGATTCTTTTCTTTTATCATATGGAAATGAAGCAACTATAGTCTAATCGAAATACCACTGAGAAAGCACAATTTCATGTAATGGAAAATAACTTGGGATTGTGGACAGTTCTATAGATTTTCATGATAAAGAGTACCATATTTCAAGAGATTGTTGGAATGAATCGGGAGTTAAGGGATCTCCAGATCAATGAAAAATTGCATTGACCCATTTGAAAAAAGACTGGCATATAAAAATTTTAACAACTCTAGATGGAGTGATGGATATCTACACCAACCAACCAAAAATATCGGCACAGCAATGTTTTTGTCTCATTATCTCACTACTGCAATACTACTGACAAATGAGACAAACCAGCTAACAAGATTACAGTCTCCTGTTGGCCTCCATATTGCTTTTATTTACAGCATTTTGCCCTTGGTGACGGCACTTTGTCAACATAGCATCTATGACTAAAGGTACATAATGCGTGTCTATATGGAAATGGTAGCATATATTAACAATAATACATTAAAAAAATATATAACTTAGGGATCACCACCAACCGGTAACATGGTTTGCCACGGTTGCTTCAACGCCAAGAACTAAGAAAGTAAATGCTATTGAAATTCATAGTGTATTGCAATAGATTTTTGCGCAGTTCAAAGTTCAAGAATAATTCATTGTTTACTTTGTAATGTTAATTTACAGTAGTAAAATGAGACACTAATTAATTTACCCTTTTTAACGACAACTACCATGTAAACCTTGATCAAACTAAGTAAGTTACGCCATGTTCTTAAATGAGAACAATGTATACACCAATGGAACTAACAGGCAAACTAATCAGCATCACACTCATTCAGTTTCATATCGCAACAAGAAATAGTTTCTCAAACTTCCCGATAATTCACAATAGAGTACATAACCATGCTTGTCATATAACTGTCAGTGTTGACTTCGTTGTAGAAAAGATAAATGGCTAGGGTAGAAGAGCCTGTAGTGTCCTCGATTTCCTATCCAGGTAGTTGTATTCAATGGCAGTGGTCAACAATTTTCTTATTGTTTAAAAAACATACCGTCATTAATGAATTTAAAAGTGAAAATTACGACTTTGCAAAGTCTTCGTGGCATATTTTGATAAATTCAGCGAGGTATGAAAACAAAAACAAGTCAACCAACAGAGGGGCAGTTAGTTCCCATAGGAACTAGTTAATCCCTTTAATCGGACATAAAGGAAAAGGTATCTGTTGGAAAGCATTAAAGGGAGTTCAGATCGAACTAATGCGATCCATCCCTTGGGTAAGTTTGGGAATGACGTCCCTTCGTGATCAACACCGTGGTGCTAACTTTCTCAACCAATTATAGCCGTGTGAATTCAATAGATAATCAAACAGGAGTTTAATTTTAATTTTTCTCATGTTTTGTATTTATTCACAAATTGACAATCTCTTTTTTAAATAAAATGTGATTTTGTGATATTCACTTGCTATCTTTCTTTGACACATTCTAATTATGAAATTATTAATTTTAATGAAACAGTGAGAATCTTTAGCAAATTTGCTGGATATCATTACCCCAGTGGTGATAATGAAATTAATATGCTGTTTGCAAATATACTGCTACGCAGTATTTGTGTGATACATGAAGTTATTTACCGTGAGCCGATCAACAGACAATGATTTTTTTAATTCTTTCTAATTTAATGTTTCATACCACTATAACTGCCGCTGATTGGTGCGTCCTTCCTCAGATCCACATCACCACTGCTATTGGCCCGAAATAGACCATGTGACCAGAACAAGTTTTCTTTTAACTCCGTTGTTGCCAAGATGATAACTTTGTCGTTTGGAGACAGTCCTGTAACCTTGACCGTAACTTCTTCGTCCATTAAACAATCGGGCTTATCAACGGTAAGTACAACATCCGCACTAGGTGAGGTGTTCAATCCCGTATTTAGCATGGAGAGAAATCGATATGTTTTTGATAATCTTGGAGGCTGTGCATTTCCGCGAGCCAATGTAGACGTTCGATTCTGCAAACCACGGCAAGACTGATATTGTTTAATAATAGCATAATCATCCCATTCATGTGCATATATTTATAAACCTTAGCACCGTGATAAAGAAAGAATATACTCATATTTCTGACATTTGAAAATCATGATTAGCTCATCAAAACCTAAAATACATAAACAATAAATTGTCTTAAAAAACGCTAAAAATACCTACGTCTCAATAAAAGTTAAATTTAAATGCAAAATCAATTAAACGAAAGCAAACCAAAAGCGAGCATGACTGGTTGGTAGACACCTAAGTTAGAACAACAATAAGATAAAGTTTTCCGAAAGGGTAAGCGACTTCATTAGTTATTTTTTCTTCCTTCATGAGAAAAGGGCCAACAATTTTCTCCAATGCGATCATTATGAAGACCATTCCATAACAGGTGACATCATCTCATGTTATTTGTAGCACTCACTATTTTAAACCGGTTACATAAGTGACGAAAGTTGCAATACTTACCATATGTTTAAGCCACATACACGATATAAGGTAAGATAATTGATTATAGATATGTCCATAGCATTCCAGTTTTGGGTTACAATAGTGGGTGTTGAAATCAAAATAGTTTCCACAACAATGGTCAGTGTGCGTTTGAGTTGCATAAACAAATCTTACTAACATTGCCGCTTTTAATTGAAGAAATATAACTAGATAACATCTTTCAACAAAAGTAATAAGATACACTATACACAAAATGTGTCAGTGTTATAGAACCTTTCAATGATGATAAAGAATTAATAATGAAGACTAGGCATATAAATCTAAACAGATGAAAAAGTTAAAATATAGATTAAAATTTTTAAAAAAAAACCGTCGAAAAATAAGTTACGATATCGATTGAGATATGTTTGTATTCTTATTTCTCTCTCCTTTTACTTGATTGCATTTATTGTCATATTCTAATCAGATACTTCAGAGAGTATGACAGACAATACAATATAGTTTTACTGAATTATGAAGTACAGGATCAAAATAGATGATAATGGATATATTAAAAAAGTATACCTAGTGTGGGATGTTTCATCCAAGTTATAAAATACCTTCAAGAATCATAAAGGGGTTGCAATAAAACAATACTCCTCCTTAAAGTTCAAATGCAATAAAAATGAAATAATTATTCGTGAAAAACATTGATAATCTCTTATGAAGTCATCAGTGTGTTACAAGATGTACAGGTATCACTTATTTTTATTATTTTGATTTTGACAACCACGGATTCTCATTGGTCGATCATTTGTAATGTTAATTCTGACACAAGCCACATATTCATTCATATGCAACTATTTCGACGGGATACCATGGGTTACCCTTAGCGTTTATCAAGTCATAGGCACGAGAGCCTACAGGTAGAATGGAGTCAGTCGTGGATGAGTGATTTTATCGAATTGTTACTCGGAGACACGTATAACATGGTTATATAGGTATCTGTTGCAGCCTATATAGGGGTTACACATCATAACATTTCGAGCTTATTTCGAATTTGAACCCGTGATAGCATAAATATCCATGTTGAAAATCACAAACAAAAAAATAACCACCTTCAGCGATTATTGTTAAAATCAGAGCACTACAAATCAGTTCAACAATATCTATTGAATTAAAAACATAACAGCTTATTATATGAGTGCATATGGTCAGTTATTTCGAAAGACGCGACAGTAAAACCCCAATTGAGAACCCCTGTGGCTATGTGCTTTATGATTTCAAAAATGACTTGAGTCAATATACTCGTCTGATTTGGTCAGGGGTGTATGATAAAGACACCTGGATTTGGTTAAACAAATATAACTGCAAGATCTAGAATATGAAAATACATTTGAAAAGAACAATTGATTACTACTGTAACAATTTAAAATTTGAAGATTAACAACTGAAAACTCTTGATAAAGAATTAGGATCGGAAAAGATCTACAACATCTACCGTTAACCATATCTTAAAGTAACCCATTACACTTAGGAAATGAAGGACAGTGATTAGAAATTGATTAACCGCAACATTTTTAAAAAAGACATTTTTCGCAACTTTGGCTATGCTTCTATCCACTTCAAATACATAGTACAGAGCGAATCTGGAATTCATTGAACTCTTACATTTTATTTCCCTTTAAGAAGTTTGACTTACATTTATAAATAGCAGTTAATAAGTCAATTTTTTTTGTAATCCATTTGCTTGGTTTTTGCAACATCAAACCGTGTTCTTAATTTCCAAGCAACAAGTCCGTGATCACTGTTATGATAAGCAATGTACTAAATACGATACTAGCATGCCAACATTATGAAAACGTCTTTTAAGAAAATCTTGAAAACCAACTATGTCAGGTAAGATCAGAAACGTATAACAGTGCGAATTTGAGACAGTTTTGTTACTTTTCCTAGCTGTTTCAAATACTCGAAAATGCATAATTGTAACTATTTTTATATCTGATTATTATGATTAACACGAAACGTATAAATGCATGGAATGTATTGAATTTGCATTATAGATATATATATACGAACGGAATTTATAGTCATAAGCTTATAGATAAATAAATGAAATAAAAAATAACCGAGACATTAAAATAAACAGCAGTAATTGTTGATATTCACATACTGTTAAGTAAGTTTCGGCTATAGCTTTGCCGTTATGTGGAAATATCGTTTATATCTTATGAATTTCCTTAATTACGTGTGAGTTTCATCATTTCGAAGATATCCAATGTACTTTGATCAGAAAACAATATAGCTATTTATTACATATAAACAGCAGTCCATCTTAATGACTCATCGATGTACGTATATTGATTTGATGCCATGTTTACATGTACAGCGATGGGACTTTATGAAAATTATGTGCCATTTTCATCTTCAAAATGGCGATTTTTTCCTAATATTGCTTTTATTTCATACTGAGTTTGTTAAAATGATTGTTTTGTTAAAAAATTGGTGAGACTATGAAGGGGATTCATATGTAAGTTTCAACTAAACTTCATCTATTTTTTGTAGATTTTATGTTTGTAATGACGAAATGGCAAATTCACAGATCAGAGGCATACATTTTGAAATCTTTATCTACAAAACCGATATTTTTTTCTGAAATGCTGCTTTAAAATTGATAGTAAAAAATCGTTCAACTGGAGCGAGAAATCCGCGCGTGCGCGACGCGGTATGTCCTCAATAGCTGCATATGATAAACATTTTATGAAGGTTGTGTACATTAAATAGCCTATATCTGATTACATAACGATGACCAGCACTATAAAACGACAAAGAGGTAGACTTTGGTATCAGACCATAACGGTTTGAGTATCAAAACGATGTCCACATAATTGAAAAAAGGTATGCTAGGTATCATAAGAATATGTTCGAAATATCTTCAAGAATTATACAAGAGATTCCATAACATTCGTGAAATACTGTCCCTCAAAGGTCATCCGCAATAAAAATGAAATGTTAATGTTTCACAAAAAAACCAATTAGATAATGTCTAAAGAGAGTGATCGATGTGTTTCACAAGGTACAGGAAGCACAACAATGTAGATCTAAAAAAAAACAAGGAACATTAGTCAATCATTTGTGATGTCGATTTTGCTACTAAACATATAGTAGTAGTAGTAATATTGGAGGCTATGTACATTACGTCGCCTATATCTGATCGAGTAAGTGTTTCCAGCACCTTAAAACGACACAGACGTGGAGCCACAAAGTAGCTAAACGATGTCCAGAATTGGTGATTAAAGCAATGAATCGTATCGTGGCTTGGCCAATATGCATACAGTAGTTTGATGAATGGTGAGGCGAATTTAAGTTATTTTATCTTAGGGCACCTCTAAATGTACATAACTTATACCCCTGTCACACCTAGACGAATATCTCGACGATTCTCGACGAATAGCAAAAAATGCTAAAACGTCGACGTTCGTTGGATTCGTTATGAGTACGCTATACATACCTTAGGAGATCGCCGAGATACGCTGACGTAAGTTGTAGTTCGTCGAGGTTTTCGAAAATTTTGTGCATGCACAAAATTTCTCGACGAATGACTGATTCGTTCCGTGTTCGCTGAAGTACGTTGGGGTTACGTTATGTGATCGTTCACAAACGTTATATGGTCGTTACACATACGTCGAGATAAAACATACCGTATTGAAAACGAATGTTTAACGAATGCAAAACGTATCGGCAGCGTTCGCAACGTATGTTTGACGATAGTTTGGCGTATGCATAACGCACTGCAGCGTTTTATAAATTATCACGTGATTTTGACTATAAAAAAGGCTCTCGCCTGCCGTTTCAAATCAATCAAAAACACAACATGCCAAAGAAGAACGCCGCAAAAACATGTACTGGTCGTGGACGTGGGCGTGGTGGAAGACGGGATAATCCAGAATCCCCATTGCCATCATCAACGTCTCAGAAAGACGCGGAAGGTGAAGCCGCCAGGATGTCCTTCCCGTCACCAACTCGCTCCGTTGCAGGTTCTGACGTTTCTCGGGAATCATCAGTAGCCTCTACATCCTCAACTCGGTCAACCCTTGTCAAGAAAAAGAGGTCAAAAAGGTCGCAGTTTTCTCTCCCAGCTGAAGAGGAGCAGCTCATGTGCGATTTTATACGTGAGAATGCAATGCTTTGGGACGTTAAGTTGACTGACTACCGTAGGGTAGACAAAAAGACCAAAATCTGGGATGACCAAGCTAAAATTATGAACAGGTCAGTCCAGTATATCCAAGGGTGGTTCAAATCACTGCGAGACACGCACACTCGTCTGAACAAGAAAAAGAGCGGCGACGGCGCAGTAGAGCTCACAGAGAGAGAAATCTGGATAAAGAACAATTTCGATTTCCTTAGATCAACATTTCGCTATCGCCCTGAACCTGTTCGTAGTGTGAGTATAAACAAGTGTTATATTTATGAACATATG